TATATAAAATTTCTGTCCCCCTCACTTCTGAAATGATGGCTACGCCCCTGGCTGCATGAACTCTACAAGTTTGTGTGAAACCTGATGATAATGTTCTCCAGCATGATTTGAAACGATCTAAAGAAGAACATCTGACCGTCTGAGTAGAATTTCATTAGTAACCTAGAATTTTTTCATAATGTGAAATATTTCTTGCTCGTTTGATTATTTGTTTTACATTACAATCCTAAAACTGTGTATTTCTAGGTTAAAATTAGATTTTAAATCTCATATTATCAGTGTGGCCTCAGACTTTTGAAACCCACTGAATAATATCAAAAATATAATGTGCTTATACTAATAAATGATTAATTATTGATTTTATTAAAACGAACACCTTCACCATAGCGCTGGTGGTGGACTAATGGTTAAGGATCTGGATTTCTAACCCACAAGCTTGGTAGTTCAGACCTTAGTTAAGTTAACGCAGCAGTGTTTCACTCCATACAAAAAGGTATATCTGCTTGTCATGAATATACACATAAAGTAAAAGGCACAGGTGTGGCCAGAGATTCATTTGTGGGTCTAAGTGCTTACCTGGGCCTGTTGTGTGATAGAATCCCATCCTTGCAGTATTCTGTCCAGAGGATCATGCAGTATGGCACATAGTCCCCTCTGACCTCATCCTGCAATTTCAAAATGGGACACATGACTCTTTGGTTTCAAAAAAGCCAGTGCTTCTTAACCTTTCTGACTCCAAGGCCCCTCACTGTCCACAACAAAATTAGAATCCCCCATGACTTTTCCATTTTTTTATGATTTACTGGATGCATGGTAAAATATTTTAGAGATTGGAATAACTAGAAAAATGTATATTAATAAAATGTATTAAAAATGACAAGATTGTAATAATTGACATGACTTTACCAAGTCTTGAAATCACACTTTTAAAATTAGGCTTCCTCATGGAATCCAAGTGGTTCAAAGAAAAAAATCCTCGTTGAGGAATTCAATAAGAAATATCTTGATTTCCAGTTGTCTTAACACATGTTAATGATTTTTTTTTCTCAAACCATTTATAGTCATCTTGAGGCCTTATTGGAAGTTTGTCTGAGGCCCCCTAGTGGGCCCCGGGCCCCCTGGTAGAGAACCACTCATTTAGTCTTCACTAGACTTTTATTTTTTTCCTCAGTTCTCACATGCATTTTGAATGTTATTGTAATTTCTACCATTTATTAATTACAAAATTTGTTGGCTAAAATCTATTTTTAAAATGTTACATTTCTGATTTTTCATGAATTTTGTTTCATAATTCTCTATAGTCTGCATTTGTGCTTATACTAGGTTGTTTCATGGCGGACTCTATTGTGACAACACTATTGCCTAATGCCTATGTAGAAACTAATTGAGAAATATTCCCTTATGTAATTTATGTTCTGACTTGACTAAACGTTTATTTCATACTCCATTACAGTGTTCCCCTGACACATTCATATTTATTGCATTCAGTTTTTAGCTGCCCTGTTTTTGCTTCAACCAGTCTCAATTTAAGGTTCCTATCTCGACTCCTCTCTGTTTGTTCGTATCAAGTCCGAGGCACTAAGCTAAACAAGGCAGCCAAAGGCTCTTGAGGTCCCAACATGTCACCGAACTTCTCATCTCCATGTATTTAGCAAGCATGTCTGAGAGCGTGGTCCACCCTTGAACTCCTCCGAAACTCGGAGAGGGACACATTCTTCACTTTTAATTGAGTGTCAAGAGTGGTCCACAGATTAACTCGGCTCCCATCACACAGATAAAGCAATGCTTCATTATTTGTTATTGGTATTTACGGAGTGTCTGGCTGAAGGGATTAGAGTCCGAGAGCTAGCGGTTTAGCGGGACGCTGAGAAGAACCCTTCCCAAAAACCGATGCGGAAGAACTCCACGTCCACCCCTCGCAAAAACAATCACATAGATTCTCCACCCCTGATGACATCCCTTTCAACAGCCTCTTAGGGAAAGAAAGTTGGGGAAAGTGTGCTTTCAGAGCGCGCATCAAATGAAGCCGAAGGGAAGATGAATATAATGAGGGAACTAAAGAGAAGTTGAGAAACGGTGAGAGCAGTTTCATGACATTAATGGAAAGACATTATCCATGAAGGAAAGCAGTTTTGGTGAAAACAGGGGTTTAAAAAAAGTAAAAATACATTTAAAATAATAATAATAATAAAGAGACCTTAATGAATGAATGAATAAATCAAGATTTTCTCAGATATTTGGACCACACGGTTTAAAATATTTTGATTTTGATAAGAATGGATGAATAAATAAAGAAATAGTCAAACAAACAAACTAATAATAACCAATTCAGATTTTTTTTCTATTAGCCTACTCTATAAATTGCTCTATTTTTCCCCACTTACAACTGTTCAAGAATGCAGCCTAAACAAAGATCAAATTTTTAAAGAATTGGGCACTGAGAGACTAATGATTTCCTCTGATCTGAATATTGTCCTTTTCAATGTCTATGGGGGCCCTACAGTTAAAATAGCTCTCTTTTCTGTTTTGTATCAGCATTTTAAATGAGGCATAAGCTATTTTTGCAGTCTTCCACTTGTTTCTCTCATACAGATTTTCTCAGGTGCTTTTTACGCACTTCTAAATTAACGCCAGTGCTCTCAAAAAACAAAATACACCTGAATCTGACCCACATCAAAAGAAATGTGTTATTTGAAAAGAATGTACTTCATTATACAGTGAAACTGAACTGTTTAGGGAAATTAAGTCAGTTTCAATCGCTATGTTAATTGTTTTGACAGCACTGACCTTAGTTTAGAGATTTGGACACTTAACATGCATGAAATGTCATTGAATTAAAACATTACAAATAAAAGAAGAAAAAGAACAAGTGGAATCTGCAAAGAAATTATGCTAGAGCTTTACTCTATTCACTTAATTGCAGATTTTTGCAAGTTTGTCTCCCAATGTTAAAATAATCTTGCGGATAATATCTATTGTTATATCTATTATTTTTAAAACTGAAACCTAACAAACTTCTTTTTGCGAATGTTATACTTTCTTTACAATTAACTTTTTTATATGCAGTGTCTAAATACGTTGAGGCCACTGTCAAATCAGTTACGGAATAAAGCGGTAATTCTTGAGCTATTTTCCCTTCATGTCACACACTCCAAAGTGACTCTGTGCCCTGTCACTTCCCTCCATTGACACATCTTCCCTGGTTTTCCTGTACATTGGTATTTTTATCTCTCCGCTCGGCCCTAGTCTTCCCGTCACCCTCACTCCATCTTTCCCTCGACGTTTCAGCTTTTTTCCCTCTCTCTCTTTCTCTCTCGGCTGCTCTGTACTGCCAGTTTTGCTGACAGACAGCCGTGTTCCGATGGCATCTGCCTGCTGCTCTACAGCTTGTGTGTGTGATCAGCTGTCTCCAGCTTCTCAACTCTTCATCTCCTCTTCTTAGCGGGCCTCTTCTGAGCGCGTGCAGCTTGCGTGCCAGCTTCCAGCCTCCGTTAACTCCTATACCATCTTATGTACTGCCAAAGCAGATTGTGTTTGGAGGGCAAGCAATTAAGGGGTAGAAAAAAACTGTAATGTAATTTTGGCTGCAATATTTACAGAAATGGTAAAGCTTAAGCGCAGAAACATGACAGAGTCAACACCGTGGAGAATAATGATTTAGAGCCCAGATTTAGAGGGAAAGGAGGCTGGCACATTCCTAATTACACAAGGCCAAATGTCAAGCCTGCTTGCTGTCAACGTGTTTCGTTACCGTTTTTTCTCCCGCCGCTTTTTTCAAGCAATTTCAGCCATGTTTTATGAATCTCATTATAAGTCATTAAACTCCACTACACATTTCATGGGCTCCTCTCTTCGAGGCCTGTGCGAGAAGGAGTTTTTTCTTCTTCGGCGGGTGCCTGCGAGCGCCCGTGTCCGTTTAATGGAATGAGGAAGGGCGAGAAATGACCACCATTAATTCACCTCTGCTCAGGGGCACCGAGGCAGCAAACAGCGGTAAATGAATTAAGACACTCCACAACAAGACGTTTAGCCTGGAAGACGTGAAATTTCTCACAGTAATATCACACTCAGAGCGTAATTCAGTGTGTAATATCATCAAGCCCTCATGCTCTCCTCTCGGGAACGATCACCTGGGACCTCGATTACTGAGAGATAATTAAATAAACCTGTGGGGCTTTTTTCTGTTGTAAGAGCTAAAACATTCCGCTTTGGTCATACATGCGCTTTCGTTCTCTCCACCGAAAGAATCTTCTTCTCTGGTATGTGCTCTGCTTTTTTCCCCTCTCTGGATTAGAGTTTGTGGGGAATTAGTTTGGATAGCCAGACATTTGACTACTAGCATTAAGTCTAAGGTCAAGAACCGCTCACTCAGACAGCAAAAAGATCATCTGATTGACATATAAAGCAACCAACCACAGTTTGTTTTGTTTTTACATGCCATTTTAAAGCGGGTTTATTTGAAAAGGTCTAACACACACATGCATACATACATAATAAAATAAACTAAAATAGACTAGTGAGGAAAATGAATTCAAATAATGGCACAGCAGTCTTATACTTTATATTCACTCTTAAAAATAAAGGTGCTTCAAAAGGTTCTTAACAGTGATGCCATAGAAGAACCATTCAGTCAAAGGTTCTTTAAAGAACCATCTCTTTCTTACCTTTTTATAATCTGAAGAAACTTCTTTCGCCACAAAGAACCTTTTGTGAAACAGAAAGGTTCTTCAGATGTTAAAGGTTCTTTATGGAACCATTTAGACAAAAAGGTTCTTCTATGGCATCATGAAGCGCCTTTATTTTTAAGAGTGTTGAACCCCCCCCACACACACATATAATAAACTAAACTAAAATAGATTAGTGAGGAAAATGAATTCATATAATGGTACAGCAGTCTTATATATAGACTTTATATTGAATACACACACAAGCACACACTATTAATAACATTAGTATTAATAATATTATAAAATAATCTAAAAATAATCTAAAATATATTAAAATAAAATAAACTGATAAGATTTTTTAAACAATGGCAAAGCAGTCTTTGCTAGCAATTGAACAGAATAAAAATACAGGTAAACATTTAATAATTATTACATATATTATATTTTATATTGCTATTTAAGGATAAATATAATTTAATTACATGAAATTATAAATTGTATATATTTTTAATATATTTCATAGAATTTCTGCTATTAGAATATGGCCTATTTCAAATATAACAAATACAAACGTAATAAAATAAAGTCTTATATAAAGACTTATGTTTAATAAATAAAGACTAGTGATTTCACAGACTCAAAAAAATAAGTTGTGCTATAGGCTAGTTATGTGTCGATAGTTTTGAAAAAAGGTGGATGCCACTAACCTTGCAAACTTTGCCAATTCTTCCTCAAATCTATTCATTGTATCAACCTGAACCTTTATAATATTCCGTTTCAGGTGGACTAATACCCCTAGTGTGCTTCTACTCATTGAAGTAACACAAGTCCAGCCAATTTGAACAAAACTGGCGATTTCATCCATGTGATGTGCAGTATCCATCAGTCGGTCAGTTGAGTGACTGTGGTCTCAGACTAGTAGGGAAAAAGCCCTCGTGTTCTAGGCTAAAGTGTGTGAGGATATGACAGTTCGTGCGTGTGCACTGCACGTATGTTGT